AATATACAAGATTTTTCACATAGCTATATCATCTCAGTTTGGATGACTTTGACCTCCACGGGGGTTGGTAGCTAAAATAAACAGGTTCTTTTAGTACAACAAAAACAACAGGCAGTGATAAATAAAATATAGAACTGTATATATATATATATATATTTACTTATTTCATACAGTATAAAAATCGAAACTATAGCTCAGTTATTAGTTGTTACAGCGTGGGCAATTTTTAATATATAAAAATACGTCTGACCTATCTTCTCTCGAAAGCATTTCATTATAAGTTTATCATTTAGCACAATTGCCACAGCAGATCTAAACAGGCTGATGTTTAACATGATTTTCTGTTTGTTTTGCATCAGAAAAACAGACTTGTAGACATTTCTTGAATGATATGTCTTAGTATTCTACCACTATCTTAGAAAAAATGAGAAGTAAAAAAATATGAAATGCAAATAAGATGATATTATACAGTGATCAAACTAGCAGTCAATTTTCCCTTGAGCGGAAATTAGAACATCTGGTGAACAGAAAATTTATAAAGAGATAACTGACAATATTTCTGATTCTAGCTTCCAATGACAAAACCATCAGTGTCGAAATTACCTTTAAACAAATTATATCCTTTACTCAGGTTGACATCAGTTCAGGTTTGAGTCCTTTGGGAAAAAATGCTGCTAATAGTGAAAACTCTATATTCCTTGCCTTTAGGTCAGCACCCATGTTAATGAGAACACAACACTCAAAAATTGCTTCTTCATAAAACTTACCAACAACATAGCCTTATGTCATAGTATTATATAGCAAAATGTACAAAAATTACATTCACAAAAACATTTTCTACAGATCTCACGGAATGCGAAAGTGTTTTAAACCTAAAACTGTTCTGAAAAAAAGTTTAAAACCAATGTGATTATGATTTTTTTGAGATAAGGTTTGGTAAATCTGATACATGCGGTAGCTTCTGACTAAAGGTTGAGGTAAAGAGCTATTTTCTTGTCAATGAAAACAATGATTCTGTTTTGCAAACCATCACCATGTGAGTATCTCTACAACATAAAAGTACAATATATACATCCTAAAACTCTCTTGACTAGATACTGTATTAGCTCTAGAATTACTGTGAAAGACATAGTAAACTATATGTAAAGTATTGCAATGATTGCAAATGTTCCACTAAAAAACACACTACTTATAAAAAATATCAAAGATAAAGTTAAGCTCTCAACAGTACAACAGTTGATCCATGGCTCATCAAATATTCACAACGGATAATTGATTAATCAAAATTTGCCAATATCCACGGCGATACAAAAAGTATATTTCGCTTGAGATTTTGCAAAACCTGGACCAAGTGTAATATGCTTGAGCTCCATTCTCTAAGGACATGTACAGACAGATCCACTTGTATTCATAACATATAAAAAACAAACATTGCAAGTCACATAAAATATACAGTAAGTACTATGTAGTCAACAGTAAATATTCCTAGCATGTGATCTTTTTCTTGCATCCACTGCCACTATGACTGCAGGACCCAACATAGTATTTTTGTGTTTCCAAAGTATAAAATTTACTAAAAACTTTAAACTGACTTCTGCATTTCTCTAAATTACTAATTTGTAATTAAGCGAATGACACTGTCTTTTTCTTACCCAATTTCCACCGAAACACTCGACAAAAAAGACCAAATCTTTGTTCCCCTTTTGGCAAAGACAAGAATTCTCGGAGTCATGTGGCAAACATTACTAGACCCAAACACAGTATACTGTGACCTTAAATCTTAGTCTCTACTGTTGGAATCTATAAAACTAAGACACCCCAAAGCTGCTGTTGGGAAGTCCTCATATTTTACAGTTAGACTATCACAAACGAAAGATCCAAGGCCTTGAACACAGCGGTGAGGTAGTGAGTGTTCAGACGTCAAGGTCCTCCTCCCACTCTTCGAGTTCTCTGGGCGTAAGGGTGACCCTCACATTTGTGATCTTGCCCAGGCCATCGTGACTCTTTATCGTCAGGGGGTTCTCGCGGACGTCCAGTTCCTCCAAGGTCTTTGCCTTCTGCACCTCCTCAACTTCAAGATCTGTAGACAGAAGGATGACAATTGAAACTCACAACGCTTCAGAACATTGGCAGACGAAAAACAATTAAACCGAATAAATCATAAATAAATCTTATTCGGAGGGAACATGAATCTTTGCTTCAAATTATTACACAAACAAAAAAATAAATCAATAAATCAATAAGTAGACAAATACAAGAATTCACATACCCATGATGTAGTTGTTGTTGACGAAAATTGCCTTCACCTTCGGCAGCCGGAAGACCACATTTGGCAAGTTGACGAAGGAATTGTGACTCAAGTCCAGACGCTGAAGTTCGATGCAGTCACCCAGCTCCTCAGGCAGCTTAGACATCTTGTTGTGGGACAAGTTCAGTTCTGCGAAAGATTGGACATTTCTGAGTGTTGCTAGATTTTTTTCTCCGTTGATTAAAATTTACGTTTCTGGGTTCAAAGTATCTATAAAGTATCTATGGAATGAAATAGAGTATCTATAGAATGAAATTTATATATATAGTATCTATAGAATGAAACTTCCTGATGGGTGTTTCAGGGTTCATGGTATATTTTAAGTATGTCAAATATGTAAAGTACCAAAAGCAAAATATATAAACAACACACACACACACACACACACAACACACACACACACACAAACGGTTCCATCTTCCCATTCAAATCATAATATTTCAATAAAGTTTCAAAAAAACTGCTTATTAAGGAAAGGCTTATATATAGAAAACGTCAACCAAAGCTAACTGAAAAAAATTAATATCCCTCTGTACAATCACAAAGAACCACGAAATGCGCAACAATATAGAAAATTAAAGAAGCAAAAGTCAAAACCAATCTAAGCGACGGAATGCGCGGAACTTTTGCAATTCATGGCAAAAACTTTTTTTTTCTTCCTCTAAGCCTCCGTGTGCGTGTGTGTATGTGTGTGTGTGTGTGTGTGTGTGTGTGTGTGTGTGTGTGTGTGTGTGTGTGTGTGTGTGTGTGTGTGTGTGTGTGTGTGTGTGTGTGCGCGTGCGTGCGTGCGTGCGCGCGTGTACATAAGCCTATAAATACACCCAATTTACGCATTAACCTTCAACAACGAACACACCGAAATATAAGTCTACTCCCTGAACGAAAATCACGGAGGAGAAAGAAACCAAAAACACAAAAGGACAAGGAAGAGAGAAAGGAAAAAGAAAACAAAGGAGAGAGAAAGGAGAGAAAAACAAAAAACATCCCGGAAGTAAACAGACGTGAGCGCGCCGCCGCCTTCCCGACGAGCGACCGTTAGGCGGGGCAGTACCGAGCGCGCCTGGAGCTTGTGCAACCGGCGCCAAGGTGAGCCGGCAGGGTTAGGGGGCACAGGCAAGGGCCAAGGGGCAGGGGAGGCCAGGCTGGACAAGGGACACTGGAAGAGGCAGGGAGGCCAGAGGAGTCAGGGGCAGGGGCTGGAAGAGTAGGGAGGCAGAGGAGTCAGGGGAGTCGTCCACTGGGGCAGAGACCAGAGGACTCAGACGGGGACAAGGAGTAAATAGCAGAAGAGCCTGGAGGAATCAGGGGCAACGGTAGGGACAGGGGAGGCAGGAGGGAAAGGGGGGGGAGGAGCCAAAGAGCCTGACAGGGGGGTGACTGAGGTGGAAGGGCAAGGTGAACTGGATGCCCTCCTGTGGAAGACCAGTCGAAGGTAGGGCCGGTGGTATGCTTCGGCGCAAATCCACGCTGAAGGAATAGTTTCATAAGCAACAAATTAGACAAGGCGACAAGGGCACGAGAAAGGCGGCATGCGACCGAAGCAGATAATATTTAAGGAAGTTATAATTTACAACCTCTGGAAAGTTATAATTTACAACCACAATTTACGACCACGGAAAGCTATAATTTACTAAAGTTATAATTTACGACCACTGAAAGGCGTGACTTACAACTACAAGTTATAAATCTACAACTATAGGAAGTTGTGATTTACGAACGTGAAATCCCATCAAACTAAAGAAACAAAAGGTCTTGCTGAAGCACCTGGAGTCAATCGCGGCCAGTTCCAAAAGGTGCATGTCTTATCCCAATCACTTTGTCGACACATAGCTTATACAGTTAATGAAAAAAGACATAGATAAGGCTTCATCTGCAGAGCCAAATATTTACAATCATTTCAAGTTAGTGTGTGGAGCACTGACGTTGCCGGACGTACGAAAATCCACCGGGTCAAAGTATCGTACTGTTTTGAAACATAACCAGCTGTCTCGCACACGGAGCAGCGTCCATTGGCACTACGGTTTCTTTACATGTATAAGAAATAGTAAGATTTTAAGGCAACTGTGATTTAAATGGACTACACCTGAAGTCATGGTTGGCATTTTACCTATTCGGCGATGGGGCGCGCATGTGTGTCGACGAATTAAAAGGACAGGTTGGCAAGCCTGTTTGGGCCGAGCGTAGACTTGAAATTACTTGAAATTAGACCAAGAAATGTCAAAGAATCGCAAAAAATGGCAGATAAAGCCTATGGTTTACGGAATCCACGAAATTATAACCACTCTATAAAGATATCTATTATTCATTACCAGTTTCATAAAATCTTCACCCCCCCCCTCCCAGAGCCGTGTCGAAATGCGTACCACACACCCACGTGCTCCTCGGGGTCGTCGCCAAGTCAGTAGTACGCCAGACCCCGTGTCCCTCTGCCACGCTGTGTCTCTTGGCACCACCTCGCTGTGTCTTGTTCGAACGCTTGGAAAATGTGTCGTCTTTTTTTCCCTTTCTTATTTCTCTCTCTGAAGTCAAGACGGAAACCCCCGTGACACGTGTAAAAATAAGCAAACGGGAGAGTTGTTGCGACGCATCTTGGCCGCCTCTCGCACCTGTCCTTGGCAACAGGTCCCCTCCGCGGGCATGGCGCCACGTGGGTCGGGCTGATTCAATGGGCTTCCCGCTGACCCCGCTTCCACCACCCATGCCATGCCCGCCCACATGCCCCTTCTTCTTTTCCTTCTTTTTCTCCTCCTTCATCTTCCCTGTTTCTAGCCTTCACACTTCTCCCTTCCTTGTCTGATCTCTTCTTCTCCTTCTTCTTCCCCTCCTTCCACCTCCCTGATTCTAGCCTCCCCACTTCTCCCTTACTTGTCTGATTTTTCTTTCTTCCCCTCCTTCCACTCTCTTCTTCTCCCTCTTCTTTCTTCTTGTTTCTTTCTTCCTTGTCCTAATTCTCTCTCCCCTTTCCTCTTCTTCCTATATCCGCATCCCTTTCGACCTTTATAAACAGCAGCGTACCTTGCTGTTTACACTCTCCAAATCTTACAAATACGTAGCTATTCTTCGAAGGCGTCCGCGGTTGCATAATGGCCCCGTGCAAGCCGCTGCAACACGCCTCGCAATAGCCTGCCAAAGGAGAGGCTAGTCTGCTGGGCTCTTTGTTCCCAGCGCCCGCCCAGGTGTCAACAAACTTCCATTCGGACGCCGCCCTCCTCCTCCTTTTCCTATTCTTCCTCCTCCTCCTCTTACTCTTCTTCCTCCTCTTACTCTTTCTCCTCCTCCTCCTCTTACTCTTCTTCCTCCTCCTCCTCCTAGCATGTCCCTTCGTCTCTCTCCTCTGCTTCTTTCCGCGTTTCGCACTTTATCCACTTTATGCATGTTTATACATACATCCATACATATGCAAATTCATATATGAATAAACAAATAAATAAATATTATATATAAACACACACGCGCGCGCACACACACACACACACACACACACACACACACACACACACACACACACACACACACACACACATATATATATACATTCCAAGATCTATACCTCATTCAATTCCTTCCTACCCCCCTTGTCTCCCCCCCCCACTCCCTCCATCCCTCCCCCTTACCTGTAATGAGGCAGAACTTGAGCGCAAACTTGGGCGGAATCTTGGACAGGAGGTTCCCGGACAGGTTACAGGTGGTGAGAGGCGTGTTCCTCATCAGGTGGAACACGGCGTCGGGGACCTGACACAGCTGGCATTCACTCAGGTCTGGAGAGGGAAGAAAACAATGAATTTATATGTTAGATGATGACAAATTTGCCATAAATCTATCTATACATGTACTATCTATCTATCTATATATGTAGGCGTGTGAACATCTATGTAAATCTATTAATAAATCAATATAACTGTATGAGCATGTCTTTCTTGTCTGTTTGTACGTATAAGCGGTATGAGTGTACATCACAGTTATGATTATATTAATGCATATATAGCATCCCTCATCAAAGGCATCCTTAACTGTAAACGATGAATAATAAATATGAAAAGGGGAAATCTACTCACAAAGGAAATGCACACACTAACAAAGCCAGCGGTAAGTATGACGTCACACATGTACGTACGGGCTCTAGCTCTATGACGTCACAAGGCCTTTGTTATCAAACGTGGCTGGGTGTTAACGTCCGCGTGCAAGTTAAACAGAAGAGAATCCACCACAAGCCTTTTTCATTGGGTTCCGTGACATTGCTGACGTCACAAAAGAACTTGAGTTTCCCACCTTAAGTTCCGCGATTAGTCAGACGTAAAAAAAAAAAAAAAAAATGAATCCTACTTCAAGTCCTTTCATTAGGTTCTGCGAATAGTCTGACGTTAAAAAAGTTCAGAGGATCGTGCATCAATCCCTTTTTCACTACGTTCCGAGACAATCCTAACGTAAAAAAAAAGAACTTGAGAGAAGAATCCATCTTGAGTCTTTTTAAGTTCCCTTTCTTTAAGTTCCGCAACGATGTTGATACGAGAATGTAAAGAGAAGTTACTTGTGTGTAATATAACTTGTGTTCCTGGTGCATTGGGAGTTCTTAGACAGTCTTCTCCATCCTAACTATGAGTAGGGGGAAGGAGGATGGGAGAAAGGAAATGACAGGGAGGAAGAGAAAGAGGGAGAGGGAGGGAGGGGAGAGAGGAGGGAGGGAGGGGAGGAGGGGAGAGAGGGAGACGGAGGGAGGGCGGGGAGAGAGAGGGACAGGGAGGAAGGGGAGAGAGAGAGGGATGAGAGGGGAGGGAGGGAAGAGAGAGGGAGAGGGAGGGAGAGGGAGGGAGAGAGAGGAGAGGGAGGGAGGGAGAGGGGAGGGAGGGGAGAAGAGGGAGAGGGAGAGGGAGGGAGGGAGGGAGAGGGAGAGAGAAGAGAGAAGAGAGAGAGAGAGAGAGAGAAGAGAGAGAGAGAGAGAGAGAGAGAGAGAGAGAGAGAGAGAGAGAGAGAGAGAGAGAGAGAGAGAGAGAGAGAGAGAGAGAGAGAGAGAGAGAATGTTTACAAACATCAGCGTTCGTTCCGGGCCAAGACTCCGCGAAAGCCACAGGATAAAGGGAAGGAGAACGTCGCAACTGTTGAAATATTACGTAGAAGAAGGGGAAGGTCGGGCAGGGTAAAGGGTACTCCAAGGGTAGGGGCTAGAGGAGGGGGTGGAGGTGGGGGGAAGGCAGCTGGCACCATTATCCCCTTACTCCGATGCTGTGTCTTTCGTGACGCAGTTGAGAGAGGCTAAAGCGCACCAGTGTCTCTGCCAGTGCGTACGCAGAACGAATTCGTCTCGGAAAACTCTCTAAAGCAGTCTTTTAATGATTACAAAATGCGCAACTTCGGAATGTCTATGCTGGCCGATTCACCTGTTATCACATTGGAACGTAAAATTATGCACATTTAAATGCATCAATTCCTTATTTATCTTTCAATCTACTCTTATCGATCTAACTCTAATGAATAAATCGTACGTATATTCTTAATGACGTCAGCTAGAAATAATTCAAGTATATGTAAATTTGCATATTTACATATACATGAACCATAGATTAACCGATCTTCTCTAAACATCACACGCAGTTCTAATTAAACCCTAATTTGCCACCGTTTCAAGTTTAATGAATAAACATACGCATCTGTGCCCATGTAATAGAAGAAGCAAGTTAGATGTGCGTAATAGCGGCACTAACTGAACGGAGGCGCACTTGCCCTGGGTGTGGCGGGGAGGCTGGCGGTGATGGAGGTGTGGCGTGGCGCCGCGTGTGGGGAGGGGAGGGGATGGGAGGGGGTAGAGGCACCGCCAGCCTTGGGAGGAGGGGAAGGAGTCCTGCGAAGGTGGTAGGAGAAGAGGGTGGCGGGGTGGGGGATTTGGGGAGTCGAGAATCACACAGAAGAGGATAAAAAGTCCTTGAGGCGGCTTGGTTTGGTGGAACGGGGTTACAAGGACATCTGCGAACTTTACATTCATCATCACTTAATCACTATCCCAACGCTATCATGACCAACGTTGCCTACACCACCACCAGGATGTGTCTGGCACCGAAGCATCAATTAGCAACATCAACATGGTGATAAGAATGCGCAACGTGGGACTGGTGTATCCCCGGCGCTAAAGCCTTTGTTTCAATGCCTAGTTCGTGGTGCAGCATGAAATTATTCCTTTTTCATCTAGTTACTCACACGTTTCGATATACATTCTTTGTCTACCCTTTACTCTAAACCAATAAGAGCACTCTGCCCTTCCACTCCCTCCCCAGCCCGCAGTAAATAATCTGTAGAGTATTTGTCGGGTTTCTTGCGAGGCTGACCTTGAACGTTTGTCCGCAGCCACATCGAGAGCTGCCTGGGTCGTGTTTACGTTTGATCAGCTGTTGAGGCGATCAGCTGTTCGTCGTCTATCTACTTCCCTCTAGGTGAAGATTCGAGCGCTGTCGAGTTTGGAGTTCGAGTAATTTATCGAATTTATATCCTGGTACTGTTACCAAAAGATGCTTTCTCATTCGGCATTAATTAGTGGCTAGTTCTCGAAAATACCGCAGTAACAGGAGTCCCTCCGTGCAGCGTGTTCATTCGATAGTGACATTTTTACCTGTTTATGTCTGTCGATGCATTTGTTTTTATTTGTTGGGAGCGTCTGACTTCACTTGTGACCAGAATCACAAGAGCGCGTAAGGTCCATTTTTCTTAGCGATAGAACACCAGGCTACAAGGTTAAAAGATGTTTGGGTTTGCGTGCTTTGACAGACTCTCCCCCTTGCTTCTAAAAAGAGCAAGGTCGATTTTCATATGAACACCATCACGTGGCTCGCAATACAAGTGTAAACAAGGTGGCAGAGCGAGAAACACCACCGGGGTGAACAAAGACACGCTTGGGAATTCATCAATAATTAATAAACAGATGAGAGATTACGTAAGTGCAGTATAATCTTTTGCAGTTAGCAGCTCGGCGAAAGATTGGTTGAATTTATAGAGCTCATTCACGGTCAATTTAGATGAAAGCATGGGCTATAATCTCAAAAGCAAGTTTATAAACAGAGTCAGTACGAAATTAAGTCTCATTTTGTCGCATTTCTGGCATTGCCAAATCAAAGCTCAATTCATGAAGAATGTTCGCAAACTGGTCTTCGATTCGCGTCCAACCTTGATCGCTAAGGTTTTTGACCGTTAACAGAAAAAATGTAGACACCGTGAGGCCAACAACATATTTTTTAATTTTTTTTTTGTACAATTTTCGTCTGAGTAAGAAGCTGTTGTTATCCACGGTATTTAAGTATTGACCTTGGTATGATTCTATTTATAATTTTAGGCGGCTCATCCTTCTCGCATGAATGACAACTTGTTTCATTTCAAAGCTCCTTTTTTTTTTTTTTGTGGCATCAGTGCATAATGTACCCACGTCTAAGTGGTCTCTGTGGCTGCAGAGAGATCACTGCGCGCGCATCGCTGGCTCGGCTGCCGTGACGTCATGGTCGACACACACGGGGAAGCACGTGCGCATCGGCTATAAATACAATATCTTTTCCTGTGTTTGCCGGTCAAATATTTACCCAACATGATCTAAAACCCATAATCAGTTCGTCGTACCATCATTTAATTTCACCCCGCGTTGCCCTAGTGCCCATTCGCGAGCCAGACTTACCTAAATGACCGCCGTTTTCGCCACATTCGAGGCACCGAGAGCGA